GTTGAACGGTTAAAAACTAATTTTTGAAATCGCATGAAAGAGTCGATGCTATTAGTGAAAACAACTGTGGCTGGGCAGCGCTATGGCAACCAGTGGGAATCCAACCTGAATCGCCCCCGTACATCGCTTACAGTGTTTCCCTGTTTTTTGAGATTACATTGTAGTATCCCCGCAGCAGCAGAGGGAGCGCTAGCGTCATGATTCCCTGCTCCCTATGTAAGGGAGATGCAGTGGCACGGGCATAGTGCCTTCCCCTACCTGCCTCCCAGCAACATATGCCGAGAATAACAGGGAAGCGCGCCGTCCTCAAACGTCGACCGCAGTGCGCGAGTGGCACACGTGTGCGCCCCTCCCCAGCGTTGCCAGTGGTCTTAATCATTTCCCTCTAGAAAGCGTTGCAAAAACCACAAAAATATTTTTAAAAAATTCAAAAATAAAGACATTTTCTGGCGAAAATTCGTTTTCCGACGCACGATTACATAATTTTCTCTTCTTACGAAGATTAGGGCGAGAAAAAAAGATGATGGTGAACTCAAGTATTTACTGCCACGCAGTGCTAGTCAGGGTCATGTGGAGTTGTTCTTTTACAGTATACATAGCAGAGGAGGAAACCAAAACCACCCAAATACCATTCACTTTAAAGCTGTATAGAGAATGATAGTTTATTCTTCAATAGCACAGTTGGTGTTTTGAGAACCCTCTACTAGTGCCAACTATGTTGGTGTCAAACTGGATTGTTTTTTTCTCCAATTACTGACATTGTCAACTTGATCATGATTATTTTCGCCAGTATGAACCTTTTAATTACCTTATTATTATAAATAGTAGCATTAAAATAACATTTCGAGATGTTAATTATTAGCAGATAATTTATCTACTGTATAATATCTTAATCTAGCTATAACAAGTATTGTATTTCTTGGCCATTGACCCCATCTCGATCAGGTGTTGTTAAGTTTCCCTGGTCCTTTGAGCAAATGCTGAGATAGCCCCTTGTTTTCTCCTGAACAGTAATGTAACTTCGCTCTCTCCACCCAAGGCATCATATTGACTCGTCATACATGATTGTAATTGTAAATGTGACTCAATAAATACTATTATTATTAATTATTATTATTATTATTATTATTATTATTATTTAATTTATTTACAGATAATGTAATTGTTAATATTGCCGGGAGCACTATAGACAAGTCGCAAATAAAATGTCTTGTACTGAATGCATTCAATTGTTATTTGCTTTAAAGAATGCTGAAAAGAAGGATTTAATTAAAATAAGAGATGTTGAAAGTAGTTTGATAAATCCCTCTGATGATGTTGTTGAGCTCCTACATGTTGCTGAGAAGTTTTTTAGAAGTGAGGAACAGTTGCTACTCAAATGCCCAAAGAATGTTTTATTTACATTTCAAATTAGAATTTTGGAACTAGTAGAGCATACTTTGTTTCAAGACAGTAATCATATGACTGAATTTGGAAAAGAACCACACTGTCTTCTTAGTGAAGTTTATTCTTAAGTGAGGTTATACCGCACTTCCCGACATAACTAGTGGAAGGCAAAATATGCGAGTCGCGGTCGTATTTATTGTGCTAAATAAGGAGATCAAGTTACGGCGACAATTGGTGAGGACGTGTGACTGGATTATAAGAAGAAAGGAAAAGGGAGCGTGTGTGAATTAGGTAAAAGAGTCTCAATATTTTTGCTTTTCCGTATACATACGTATATACAGAGTAATATATGTAGTGTAGGGAAAGTTACGTAATGCTGCGCGAAAAAACGGCGGATTTTCGGCAGAAAAAACTTCGTTGCCGGGTCCCGATAACGAAAAAGTGGATAAATCCTGTTGCTAAATTAAGGGGGGAATCCTCTAACACGTTGTGTAGCCAGAAACCTTGTTTTGTAGGGCCTTGATAACGAAAAATCGAATGACGGCCAAACGTTGTGTGTTCAACCGTTTGTGATCAACGCTAGCGCATAAACCGTTCAGCGTTTTTCTCCAAAATTAAAAATTTCCAATGGTTCTGACTGATGTCGCGGCCTCTAGAATTAAAAACCGATATTTTAATTTTGGGGTTGCTTTACATGAAGCCTCTCGGACATTTTCATTTTTTTTCAAACACTGGTTTCAAATTTTTTAATTGAATTTTGTTGTTGGATAATGCAAAGGACGTTTAAGAGAATGGTACAGGTCTCATTTTCTTTGAAATTCCGGACTTTTCGAAAATTACAAAAATTCAAATTTTTTCTGCGTCTTCCTATAACTATAATATTGAAGATACAATTTTCCCCCTAAAAATGTACTATAGACAGATTTTTAAACAAGTTTAAACATGTTCAACTTTCCGAAAATATTAGTAGTTGTCATGTAATTATCCCCTAAATATAGGCAATTTTTATTATATTTTCTGAAAATCCACACCAAATTTGTTGTTTACATTTTTTCCACGTGTGTAAAAAGGAACGGCAATATATATGTTGATAGCCCCATTTGGGGGTGTTACTAAAAAAACACTTCAACTTTTTTCTCTAACTTTTCTCCACTTGTGTAATACGGGACGATAACAAATATGGATCTAGTCCCATTTTGGGGTATTGTTTGTTTTTTTCGAAAATTCCAAAAAACGTTTCAAAACTACAAAATTGAATAAAGAGGTTTTTCCCTCAAAGTCTGTTCTAAAAGTCAGCTCATTAAGAAGGTCATGTACATTTGTTTAAAAAAGCTAGAAGTTTTCGCGAAATTTATGAAACCTATTTGGTAATCCATATTTTTTGTCAGTGTAGTGAGGTATAGAACATAGATATTTTCACTGAACGAAAGGTCACTTCTCTATGCATATTATAGACTTTCAAAATTTCAACGAGTACGAAGCAATATAGTAGTAAAACGTCGATTGTTGTTGTTTTTTTTTTTTTTTTTTTAAGATTCGTTCTTTGGGTAGTTTATGAGTTGAAAATTAAACAAGGGTTTTCAAAACTTACAGATTTATTTGATATCTTTACATTGTAAACACATTGCTTTTTCTCAGCTATAGAACTCTTAAGGGTTCTTTTTACTATTGTAAGTGTTTATTACTCTTGATGAGTTTCGTTAAAGACACTAAATAAAAATGTTTGAAATAAAATCACTGAATCACATTATAAACTTTAAAGTTTTATTTTTCTGCGCTTCGTTTGACGCGGTGTCAATATAATAAGGTGGTAATAAATTACTTAATACTACAAATCGTAGAACATTAGTAATTTAATTAGTTTATTAGTACTAGAGTTAGAGTTGTATCAACTGTGTATCATGTACTACAACTAACCCGGAAACAAGTTGATATCTGAATATAGATGAAAATAAGCGTTTTTCCGAAGAATTGGTATGATTCCCAAGCATTCATATTATTATACTAAAGGAATTGCATAATTTTGACAACACTGCGCTGGCAACAGTGTTACTCACTTCTGTATAATTTGCTGCGAATTCTGTAACAGTCAAATTTTTTTCCTGTTTGTTTCATTTGTCAAAGTAAGAAATGATTGCTGCTCCTGACTATCGAAATGAATGCAGATATGCATCAAAGGCGCTTTGTTTGAATTGCACGTTTTCAAGCAGTGCCAGCTGGTGTCGCACGAACAAGGTTGTTGCAGTCATTCCTAGGGCTCGGGCTTTCAGATAAAAACATATTTCCCCCCTTTAATGTTAAACGGTTGAAGTTCGGTGGAAATTCAAGAAGCGCCAAATGGTTTTCGTATGGCCCAATGGTTTGCTTGTAGCAAAAGAGAGAATTTTTCGCATCACATCCACAGAGCCACGCATTTCTAAAATAATCCTTTATTTTAAAATCCCTCTTAAATTGTCTATTTCCTGTCTTTACAATTAGCACTATATTTAAATTTGGCAATGGTCTACTGAGTTCTTTTATTCTCAGCTTTTTTCATTAAAAAGCTGAGAAAAACGTTTAACCTGTAAATCCTATACAGAATTTATTGTCAAAAACTCACATATAGAAGTTTCAAAACCAATTAATTACCTAATAAATGACGTTTAACTACTTGTGATCACCGTAATTCACTATACACTCAAAACAGCTCACACAAAACTTGTATATGAGGCTTACCAGCATACGCAATTGTGCAATCGATCTTCTTAATTCCATACAGTGTTGCCATATCGGCGCAATTCCCGCCGTTTTCTGCGGATTTTGAACTCATACGGCGGAAGAAAAAAAAAGTTTCGCGGACAGCGGAATAAACGGCGGAAATTAATAAAGATAGTAAATCAGTAAAATTAGTAAAGCATCAGTTTTCGTTAACCTCTATTAATAAGTTGTCTTGCACAGATGTATATTTTGAAAATTTCTAACTCCATGTTACTAGCAAGAATAAATAATATAATACTTATACAATAAATTATATACTACCTGAAATCAATTGTTATTATTCTGCAAATTTTCACCCAAGTAATGCATTCTATACTATCTAAAAATTGAATTACAGGTTCAATAAAGCCACTATATTTCGCAATCATATTTTTGTTTTAATAGAATAAATTAATACATTTAAATATGGAAAAATAATTTATTTTACGTTTAGCGGATTTAGGCGGGAAATTTAAAACCAATTCAGCGGATTTTCGATGGAAACTGAAACGAACATGCCGGAATCTCTCTAAACACATCTGGCAACACTGATTCCATATGCCTCGGTGGCTGAAGTCCATCACGGGCTTGAGAAGAGCTGCTCCGCGTGTCGGTGTTGGGAATCATTAGCAACATATTAGAAAGAGTATGGGATAATACAAAGAAGCAGGTCGGTTCGTAACCTAAGGCAGGAACCCGGTTGGTAGCTGAAATCCAACTCCCTCGATGACGTTTGCTCTCTGGGACGCTCGCTGGGACCTCTCTTTTAACGCTTGTAGTTAAGGAGCTCATTCGAAGATATACCACTCTCACGTTATTAAAGTGATTTATTTTTAATGTTAAGAAACATTGTCCGCAAAATTATGATTGTTGTGCAATACTGCAACAATGCCACGAAGCGCCACTGTTTTCAAGTAATAGCTGAAGTGTTAGTAGCGGAGAAAATGAAATATTGCAATGTTTCGTAGCTGTTTCCAATAATTGTAAGCGCTGTTGAGGCACCAGTCGTTTACAGTGGCTGCCGGTTGCGTGCGCATTAGGAGGGCGGAATATGTGAGATAATATTTGCATTTTTTCACTTAAGAATATTTCTTGAGTCGGGACAAACAACGGGATTTAAAACCTTGGTTAAGACAATAGCAACAATCAACTAATTTATGAAATCAGGTAAAAGGATTGATATTCTTCGCTTAGTTAATAGACGCGGATTCTACCGAACGACACGAAACCGAACGACGCTACTCCCACCCAACTGCCACCATCCCTCCTCTACTTCATGTTTCCATTGTTCAGCATGCACCAGCGATGTGACCCATTCTTAAAACATTGTTCATTCGCGTACACGGGCGCCTGAAATTAAATTCGCCTTCAAATCTTGCACTTGTGTAATGCACAAATTAATTTGTGGTTTAAGAGTCGGTTTACTGTAAGTTTAATATATTCTGCAACATTTTCAGTGATTGAGTTCTTGTAGAGGGCTCTGCTCTAGTCCTTAAGGAACACTGCCACTGGTTTCATGTGAAACTAGTGTCAAAAATTGTCAGAGTCGTTTAATATAAAGAGGATAATTTATTAACCAAAGAATTTGAGATTCATTAAAATATATTCTGTTCCCTAGTAATATCTACGTGAAGCATTATTCTTTTATACGACGTAACCGTACTTTACTCTCTTATATAAATATTTAATTTTTGTGTAGAAATTGGAAACTTTTTTGTTCATAATATTATAATAAGTTCAGATTACTGAAACACAATATATACCACACCAAAAGTAGCCTCACTGAGACAGGGTACACCTACGTAATTTTATACTAGTAAGTTGTAACAACGTAATATACGAAATAACTCCGTTAATAAGAACATATAATGCGCAGTTACGTCGTGTGAGATATTTCACCATGTGCACATGTTCGTAATTACGAATAACACGAGAATCGTCGTTCTTTCGTTCCATTTGGAAAAGAGTCGTTCACGAACGACCCACTTTTTGCTGTATTCTTTCGCGACCGCTCAGTAGACCTTCCTGTTCCGTTGCTGTACATACAAGGAAGACCACAGGTACGTGCTCGTTGGCATTTATATTTATTACTTAAGTTGGCTTTTCTCTTAAATTAAGGATGCAACTTATTTAACAACAATAGAGTATTTTTTCATATGAATATAAAGTAAGTATTTATGTTTAGGGGTCACAAATATTATTAAACATGTTTTACCGGGGCCAAGGACCACGTGTACGCTAAGTTTCCTTATGTTCCGAAAACTTATTGGATATACATTATTAGTTTACCAGCGTTATTTCGTGACAATTACGCCTACGCGATATACTTATTATTTTTATAAATCTTTTTACAAATTAAAGCATGTAACTTGGTATTTATTACAGTGCGTCATGCTTGTGCAGTGGAATGTTCTTTGAATTGAATAGGAAATGGCGCGATCTCTGTGTATGCGCATGAAAACTTGATACTTTCGAAAGTTCATTGCATCTATATATCAGTGAACTTCATTGTTTCTCATTCCCGTAATCGGTATTCGGCTGTTACGTCGTTGAAATTTGATCAATTCGTTTCTGAAAGCTGTGCTACGCGCTTGCGTGTAACATGTCGGAGTACTACTGTTGAACACCGCCTGGATGCTTGATGAGTAAAACGATGTGGGACGATATACACTACGAAGAGGTAGTGTTTTTTATTCTCTAGGTGAAAGTAATCGAAACGTAAATGTGTTAAATTCGTATTAAGTTTTCGAATTCGATGAAGGAATATTGAAAAGGTAAAATTGCGGTGATGTTAGGAAAAGTTGCGATCAGTTTATTTACTTTTAACCTTTAAATGTGATTACAAAATAAAGATTAGCAAGCGATAATTAACTCTATTAGGTATTCTTGTAGCATAGTGGTTTGCTGTTGCATATCTTCATTTTAAAGCTTATAACCATTCCTGTAACAATGCATTATAGAAAGTTATTGAATCTATTAAGTTTCGTCTGGTAGTTTGTGAAGTACAGATTGGTTGTAGTTTTGTTTACAGAAGTAATAGGAGCTAAAGTGATTCATGTTTATTGTAGAAAAGTTGTAACTATACAATGATCAACTTTGTAAAAGTTTGTCTGCAGACAGTTTTTCATTTAAATTTTTGTAAACAATGAAATCTGTAGAAATGGATAGAAAATAGCATTGAGTACCATTGCTTGTTTGCTAGTCACTTGTGCATTTTATATTTTTGCAAGTGGTATGATAACTTACTTATTCAGCATGGGTAAAACATTACTATTCAATAAATTGGAAGAGTTAATAGTAACATGTGTAAATAGTCTTTCAAACCTTTTCTTGCATGTAAAGGTTTTAGTGTACTGATATTAGTTTTCTAAATAGGTAGGTAGGTGTTGACTGAATGTAATCTTTAATGACTTACAGATTTGTGTAGTTACTTCATTCTCTTGAATGGTAGGTCTTCTGTAATAATGTAGAAATTGGTTAAGTAGTAAATTGTAAATTGGTTGCGTATACTTATAATATTCAATCTTATTGCTGTACTCTTAGCTATGTATGCTACTCAAGGCAGCTTCCTAAATTCATTATTTCTTCAGAATGCTTCTCCCAAATAAAAGAATGTTCATTTTAGGAATTATTAAAATAAGTTTTTTAACATTTTGTAACCTTTTTACCAAAAACCAGCTTTTTGACTGAAGTGATTGAATTGTTGGTGCTGGGTTGATTCATATGTATACCATTTAATTTTGGATTGATAGACATGGCGGACGCTGCTCCTGCCGGTGGTCGTGGGGGTTTTCGTGGTGGATTTGGTGCTCGAGGTGGTCGTGGTGGACCCAGAGGCAGGGGTCGCGGACGAGGCCGTGGAAGAGGTCGTGGCAAGGAGGCAGAGAAAGAGTGGATGCCTGTAACAAAGTTGGGCAGATTGGTTAGAGATGGAAAGATCCGTTCCCTTGAAGAAATTTACTTGTACTCTCTGCCCATCAAGGTAATGCTATAGATTCTTATAGTTCCTAATGTATTTTAAAATGAAGGGGTGTGCCAGGAAATTGCTCATACTCTGTTTTGTAACATTTCCAGGAATTTGAGATCATTGACTTTTTCATTGGAGTTTCATTAAAAGATGAAGTTCTGAAAATTATGCCTGTTCAGAAGCAAACTCGAGCTGGTCAACGTACAAGATTTAAGGCATTTGTTGGTACGTGTAATTTGATTGTGATTTTGGGCTTTAAAATTATTGTGATGAATGAAGGTTGTTTTGATCATTGTATTTCTGTACGAGATTGAACAATATATTTAATGGTTTGATTTTTCAGCCATTGGTGATTCAAACGGCCACATCGGTTTGGGTGTGAAATGTTCAAAGGAAGTGGCAACAGCTATCCGTGGAGCAATTGTTTTGGCAAAGTTGTCTGTGGTGCCTGTGCGCAGAGGTTATTGGGGAAACAAGATCGGAAAACCTCATACTGTTCCATGCAAGGTGTGTATTTCTCAAACTTGGTGAATTAATTAAATTTAGTTTGTAATGTCTTTGGTTTGGTGTTAGTCTAAATCTAAATATATGGAAATTTTTGGCCAAAGGGGTTAGTTGCCATTGTGAGAACTGATAGATTGTGCTGCTTTCCGTTAAATGCATTGAGGATTCAGTTTTAATCTAAAGTGTTCAGCTATTTCATAAATATGAAACTTGCTGCACATCTGAAGACATGTAAGAATTGTAGGAATGACAAATGAATCCAACATCTTGAATGCTGCCTCTATGCCTAACATTAAAGCTGCTTAATAACTATGTTTTTATATTTCAATATTCATTTTTTTTAAATGGTAAGATATTGAATACTTTTCTGTATCCACTTTTCATACAAAAGGGTTTGACTGAGAAAGATGGTATCAGTGTTAATTTTGCATACGTACAAGTTGGCCAGTAGTGCTGTTAACTGCAGATCTCTGGATAATTTTTTCTGAAGTCCAGGAGAATCCAATGACAAAACTTATTACTGGTACCAAATGAAGTTAAATGTGTGTAGTCATTGAACTGTGATGTTAAATGCTCCCTATTCCACAGTAACTTTAAAGGTTTGTTCTTTTTTTTTGTGACTAATCTTAAACAATTTTGCTAAGTTTTCATTGCATATTTTCAGCATGGATGTTATGCAGTCTTACATTTTGGATAGGTTCTTGAAAGTTCTCAATTGTGAAAATTCATTGTCGATTGAAGTTGCAATGGTCAATAATTGGGTATAGGTACAGGAGAAATTGCATGTTTTTGTGACCAGTTGTAGGTCATCCATAATTATAGTAACATTTTGTAACTTCATTCTAAAATTGAAGATATTTAGGATACAACAGTCCTAATGCATTCATTGTTACACAAAGGCTGTTTTCTCGGGTCAATATAGGGAAGAATTTTCATGTATTTAGTTACCATTGTGAAGGTGTTTTTTGTGCGTGATTTCAGCTGGATTTCTCACATTGTGCAAATGGCATATCGATTATTAGAAAGTCGTTCAAAATTAGTGCAAATGTATTTGGAGAATTTGAATTTTTTTACAAAATTTTCTGCAGTGGACGCAACAAGACAAATATCAAAAATAATTTTAAAGGCCTGAAACTAAGACCAATGCAACCCCTTCAATTTATCAGCTGTGTAATTTGATTATTTTGTGTGGTGGTGATGGAAAGTGAAGTGGACATTTGTGTGTGGACTAGTGTGATTTGATTTAAAAAGACTGATAGAAAACTGGGAATGGTGGTAATAGCAGTAGTTATACAGATAGTCAGCTTCCAAAATTACCATTTTGCAGTTTGGAGCAATTTAACAATATTGCAGGCTAAAGTTTTTGATTTACTTCCTGTTATAAGGTAGTAAAGGTGTAGTGTTCCTATAAACCTAATGGTGGTCCAACTGCTTTGATAAATATCCCTGAATCAAAGCAATATTCTGCTTACTTTGCATACAAGAAATGTTTGTTTGTGAATTGTCCTAAATTCATAATTTGGAATTTAACTTCATTGAGTAAGATTTGTTAATATTAAATTTCACAGATCCATGCTTTCAAATCTTATATGTATCAAGGAATAGGTCATTTTATTGCCCAATTAAAACAGTTGAATAAAAAGTTACTTCCCAGGTGAAATAATGTCCTTTTACTTGGAAGGTTAATCTTAATTATTTGATATTTGTTGACAGTTTTTTCTTTTTTTTTCTTGGGGTTGGAATTTTACTGTGGAAAATGCTAAAGGTTTGGTTTGTACACTTAGAAGATATGAACCCCATTCCAGTGATTCATATATTATAAAGAATTAAATCATGATTACATATTTGGTTCACTTTCAAATAGTATTTAATGAACGCAATTACGTACAGTACTCGTGTACAAGAAATTGTAATGAAGATCAAATACAAACTAAGGTATTTCAAACATTTAACTGTGAAAATGAAATATATCAAGTCTTGTGTGAGGGGCATGTGGCTCTGCTGCATTTGAATTCGCCAACAGTTAATGAGATTGTGAAAGTATGTGTTGGTTAACATGATCCATTCCTGGTTATGTTGTGCTTTCGATGACCCCTCCATTTAATGTTGAAATATTTATTGCACATTTTCAAAACCACATACATTAGAGATGTGCACTATTGCTAGCAGTTGTATTGCCTTCACTGAGGTAGTATGAAGATGATAGAGCTATAATAAAGAAAGTTCTTTCACAATTTTGTACTAGTGTGTATTTTAAGTGTAATGGAAGTGAAGGGATTTGAGACATCCCCAATACATTAAAATTTGTTAGTTATAAAATTCGTTAAAAAATGCATTGCTGATATGAAACGAGCTGAACCTTTAAATTTTGTGAATGCAAACTTAGCATAAATTAATTTTGTAGTTGTGTATGTTTAGTAGGGATGGAATTGCTTCACCAACCATCTGTGTCCATAATAAAACATAAATTTTCTTAATTGTTTTCTTTTCATTGTTTAATAATTTTTTGAATTAAAAATTAGAATGTGTTTCTAAGAGTCAAAAATTCATAGTATGTAGATGCCTATGTCTTGATCTTCCACAATTGGTCGAGGTGATGTAGGAAAGTTTCTTCTAGTCTTGGAGCATCTGTATATTGAGGCCAAGACGAGAAGCTATGTGTAACAACTAGATGTAATTCTCTTCAAGTGTAGTTGTTTTTGTGTAACTTAGCATTTATGATGGAATAAACTTAAATGTTTCTAAATCTCGAGAATTTTTGAGAAGCAATGAAATAAGGATATTTAATTATGTCTCAGTACCTTAAAAAATGCATTGTTTTATAAGAAAATCTTGTGAAATGGTTATTTTAAAATCTATGGTGTTACAATGGAGCATATGCATATAATAATGCTTTTGTTTCTCACAAAAATGAAATTTCAAGAACCTTTGTCCCAGAGAATTTTCTCATTTTTGGGCTTTGAAAGTTAAACGAGGACCAACGAAGTTTCATGGGTACCAACATAGTACTTTATAATATAGTTAGAATTTGTTTTTGGTGGGAAGGGAAAAAAAGTTAATTTATTCAAAAGATTTACTTAAATTTTGCACTTGCAAAACTTGAATGCTCATTGATTCCAAGGGGTGATTGATTACTCAATTTTATGAAACTGAGAACTTGAGTGGCTATAGATAGTTTGAGAGAAATTCCATTCAGAACCTTGATAACCTGAAGCTGCTCGGCATGCATAGAAACTTGGAAGTTCTGGTGGTGCAGAGGTGGACAGATTTTGGGGGGTGATAATTGTTGAGGTAATTAGGTGATGTTCATGTATTAAATGTTTAATTTTGTCTAATCTTGTGGATTGTTACTACTTCTAGGTTACGGGCAAGTGTGGATCGGTACAGGTGCGCTTGATCCCAGCTCCAAGAGGAACTGGTATTGTGTCTGCCCCTGTGCCGAAGAAGTTGCTGCAGATGGCTGGAATTGAAGACTGTTATACTTCAGCCCGTGGTTCCACAGGCACTCTGGGTAACTTTGGTAAGTAATTTAACTTTCTGGGCGACTTATCAGTGGTTTTTCTTGCAACAGCCTTTTATTGAACATTACTAATTTGTGATTTCAGCCAAAGCTACTTATGCTGCTATTGCAAAGACATATGCCTACCTTACCCCTGATTTATGGAAGGAACAGGAATTGAACAAATCACCATACCAAGAGTTCGCAGATTTTCTGTCCAAGAAATACATTGGAATTTCAACTCGTGATGCATAAGCAATTTTGTTCAATGTAAAACTATTGGGGCAACAAATACAATAAAAGAGTTTTGAACCATAATAGTTTCTTGTAGGTATTTTATATTGTATTTTTTACAGAAACAAATGATACTTGAAGAATATTATGAGAGATTGGTAGGTAAGTAGTTTGTAATGGTTCCCATTTTCATTTCATATTTTTGTTTAGGCTGCAGTTAGTCATAATTTAGGTTTTTTTCCTGTAGAAATGTTTTTGATGAAGTCATTTAAGGAATATCCATTTTAACTTTGCATTACTTCTTTTTTTAGGTAGTTTTCATTTTTGAAGGTAGTTTTCATTTGGAAATGGTGACAATTTAATTGTCCTGCTACATCCTTTCCTCTAGGTTATCTGGTTAATGTCTGAGAAGTATGTTCTTAATGTTTCTTGCTGCTTCCAAGATTTAATTTGAGATCTTGTTACATTCTTAGTTTTTTGATGCATTGTATGAATCACCATCCTGATGCTAAGAATGCTGGTGATGCTTCGGAAAGTGGTGGAACAATTCTCATAATTTGCCAGTTTTTGAGTTGGGTGTAATAAAATTTTTTATATCCAAAGACAGGATTCCTGTTGAACTATATATTCTTTGCCAACTTGAAATTGGATGAAACCTTGGCAGAAAATTGGATCTTGAAACTATTCTTAGTACTTGTTTTTGTAAGAGATTGCACGTTATGGGGGTTACTGCAATATTGCAAGTTTTGGGTAATTCTGGCAGAAAATTACTGCGATTATCCAATTGTAAGCCAACCTCCCCCACCCCCTTTTTTCATAGTTTAAAAATTGACGCTTAGCCTAGAATCAGTATCATGTTCTTATAACTTAGCTGACACCACACATCTGTAATGTTGCCTATTTTTCATTGGCCACGCTGCCAGGGTGGAAACAGGATAAAAACCACATGAAGCCATCACATATATTAATTTGAAATATAAAGTTGTTGGATAAAATGAGTGTCGGTTGGAGTAAAACGGATTTCTTACCTCGTGACACGCATGGATCTGGCCACCAAGCCTGGGACCAACTCGGTCGGTTGTTCTTTTTCAGTGATCTTGGGCTAATCTTTCCCAAGTGTGTGCTTCAATAGATGACGCCTAGAGTATTCTTAGAAGTTGTTGCAAGGCCTTTTAAAGTGTTTAATCACAAATGCATTTGATGGCAGTGAAGATGACCTTGTCATGGACAAAAGTGACAGTAAAGTGAGGTATCTGATGACATCTCCGTCCGATGATTGCATCAGTCAATCATCCCTAAAATGTATAGGATCAGTGATCAGTGTGTGTTAAGCATTAAATGTATTGCTTACGTTTAAATAAATAAATTTCCTTATTTTATTTTAATATAATTGTCTAAATACGGTACACCTTTTGACTACACTAATGGTACATCCACACTGAACTAATTTGAAAATTTTATTGCATAAAATATTTTTATATTTTGTTTTAATTTCTTTTTTAAAGGTGTTATGCAAAAAGAAATTAAAAAATTGACACAACCCAGGACAGTGCTTTTGGGTGGTTGTGTGATGAGTGCCGTTTAGTATAATATGTATTAATATAATTTTAATATATATCAATTATGCATTTTGTTGCCCTATGAACTGAGCATCTATGCCTTTCATGATATCTAGTGTTACTGCAACGGATATGCAGTGTTACTACAAACAAGGTCACTGCCCTTGGTTGCAGTCTCTGAGCCAACACTGTTGTCTCTTCCCAATCAGATCATATCCATTTGTCAGTCTTTGCTCAACTTACCAATAAGAGAATGCATGCAAAAGTCACATTTGACTTAGTCGGGTGCAAGGCTTAGTGGCAAGCACACTGCATTTTAAATACATTGTATTTCTCGGAACAGACGATGCCCTATGAGGTAGAGAGAATAATCAGTTTTTGATCGCTTTTAGCCATGTACACACTAACTCCAGGGTCATGCTCTGCAAACGAATAAGTGTAAATGTAGAATAGTTTTCCTGTCTGAATCATTAATTGCTAAAAGATAATAATGGTAAATTATGAAGAGAAAAATTAAGAATATCTCTTGTGTAACTTAGTTATTTTTCATTTCTGAAGGTGTATTTGCATGTATAATGCTAATATATTGTATGGAAAATGTTCAGAATATTGAATATGGATTGCTTAAACAATATATACAAACTATTATAATAACACTAAAATGAAATTTCAATCACCTTAAATATCACATTCAAAATGTAAAATAAATTGGTAAATGGCATTACTGGAGTTAGTCTACACAAGTGTTGCAAATTTTTGATATTTTTATTGCAGGTTTTAGTGTTTTTTACTGCATGAAAATCTGGTCCTTACTGTAAACCATGCGGCATGGTACAAAGTCTTTGAGCCTGTTAGTCAAAGTGAGTGCAGTGATACGTTCAATGTGGCTTCCCCCACCCCATGAAGTTGGCAGATTGGTGGTGGTAGAATTTTTAATTTTCAAAAATTATTTTTTTGAAAACAAGGCTATACAATTTTACACCATTAAAATTATTTACCATTTTCTAGCATATATTCATAAAATTAAGGAAGGATTCTTTGAGATGAATGTTGGTGCTTCTAGATTTTCCTATTCAAATCAAATATGGGGCACTAATTTATTTTGCTCTTTGTAAACTTCAACGGATATAAAAGCCTATGGAGTGTGAAAAGCATAAGGAATAACAGTATGTCATTAGTGTAGGGCCTTCCTCTTCTTCCCTTTACCCTTTACAGTAAACAGCTGAGACTCTTTGAGATGATGCAGAGTGGTCAGGCTTGCAGGATCTGTTTTTAATTGTTTACTCGTTATAATCTTTAATAAACTTGGTCACTAAATTTAAATGGTTTTTAAACATGTCATCAGTCTCAATGCTACCTGACATTGCTGTAAGCCATTAGGGCCATCTCTGATTCTCAAATTTGGTAGTCAGAAAATGCTGAGGGGAGGTAATTTTTTGTCTTTATCATCACTTTTCTGTCGATGTTTCAACAATAGGAATTATTTTTTATCTTTCCATGCACTTTGGCTAATTTGCAAATTGGCCGGTTTATATTCACTGTCTACAAAATGGTACTGTGCCGTAATGAGTAGCTGATATGCGATAATGGGTATGGGAGTGCTGGTGAGAAGAGGCCTTCCATTCCACAGTTATTCCGATTTCTCTATGCATTTCCAAGATTGGCTGTGGGTCTTCCAAGACTTTTATGAATAGACCTTGAGTATGATGGGCGAAGTGTAATCCAATGCATAGTTATCCAAAATAATTCTTGTGAACGCACAAGCCCGCAGCACGTGGACAATCAACTTTCCAAAATCTGAATGAATTGAGATGTCAAGCCTTTTTCTTCAGAAATTGTTTTAACATGAACATGTAATTAATTTTTAAGGTTGAGCAATTGAATTTTATGGATGTTAACATTTTAACCAAATCTTTTATTGTGTAGTTTTTCATTCTTAACATTAATGTATTCTTAAACTTGTTATTTGTGTGCATGTCCCTTTTTTGTTCTGGATGGTTTACTAATGAACAGACTTGTCAGACGTTATGTGCAAGTTAAATGGATGAATTAAGTAGTTGATAGTGATTTAACTATTTCTGTCAATACATCTGGGACTTTGTTACTACACTTTAAAATCTTCCTTTGATTGGCATCACTGTATTCTGCTGGTTTTTATTTACCAATATTTGTAACTTATTCTTGTCCGGTTGCCATGTCTGCGTGCTCAGGCATTAACATGTGAAAAATATCTAAACATGAAAAGTTTTTTGTCCCTTCACACCCTGAAGTTCATTTTGTTTTCAATGGATTGGTTTTCCTTGGCTGTAGTAGCTAATGTTGATATCAAGTAGCCCTCGAAGTTCACTGGAGAGGCTTCTTATCACAGTCTTTGGATTTTGTCTTAGAGCATTGTCTCCCAGTGCTGTTATGAACTAAATAGTTCGCTTGCTTCCTCTGATTCCACATTAAAGATATCGATCTGCCTCATATTTTTAAAAAGTTTTTAATATATATTGAGGTTATCTTGGAATTAACGATTATAAGTTCATAAATTTGTGACAACTAAAGCTGTTTTTGGAAACAATTTCAAAAGCAGGTTTTCGTTTGGCCACAAAAACGGTGTGCAGGATAGACGGGCAGTGCCATAAAATGCCATTTCTTGAATGATTTCTAGCTACAGGAAAGCTCGCTGTAATGCTTATATACAAATAGTTAAGAATACGCTTTAATGCACGAGTACGTGTTATGAAAATGATTGGGAGGTTTCAAATTTGAATGAATGCAATAAAGCAACAATATAGAAGTTGTATACGCTATACAGTTGTAAAAAGTTCCCGGGGTTGAATCCAAATTAATTTTGGGAAAACTTTGTGGCGTCACGGGTATTTGACATTGTGCGAGACAACATGGTCGATTTGATCGCTACCTCACCACGATTCTAGCCAAAGAGTGTATATCTAGCTTGGATTGACTGAATGTATTACGACTTAATTACTTGTGCCTCAAACGCCAAATGACTTGTCATAACACAATCTGTGCCGTAAGATGTGTACTTGTGTGGACGATTTCTTGTGTCAAAAGAGGTAGTTTATAATGCTGGAATACAGGACAGTCTTCATACATGCTGAGATAAGAACAAAACATTACTCGCGGGCCGTGATCAGTGCTCTAGTATTGTTCCTCGTATTGTGTAACTTGTATAAAATGTTAATGAAATCGCCAAGGACATCATCGTTCGTCATCCTTTGACATATTTCATACAGTACTCTTGCCACCAGGAGAAAAAAAAATGTGATCGTAACCTTGGTGGCAATCTTGGACAAACCTCGATTCGGGGGATGGCGTACTGACCAATTGCCGACTACAGAGGAAGAACCGAAGTCGCAAAATGGTAGAGTTTGATGCAACTTGATGGGTGGAAAGGAGTACTAAAACCTGGATTTGTCAAGTTGTAAAAGCCTGTCTAGTCCAGAGAAATAACCTTCAAAATTTATGCAAACAGGGGTTATGAGACAAGTCACTGGAAAAATAAGTTCCCAGAGGTTGTTTTTTGTTGTTGGAATATTAACACTTTTTCATTTTATGCAAGTCGGTGCTTACTTACAGAAGGCATGTTCAGGAAAAGGAAAACTTTTGGGATGTCAGTGATTTTAAAGAAACTTAATTAAACTGTATGTCTGTAAAGAAATGTTTACACAAATGAAGAAAACCGGAAGTACTCCAATGCAAAGTAAAAGGATTTGCTAGACCTTCATTTTTAAGCTTTGAGACAAAATTATTATTTTACCATATTCCGCACCAGAATTCGCTTGTCAAATTTGTTTATTTGTGATTTTATTAGCTAGTGGCACACAGCATATAGTTGATATTAACCCATTAGTGCCTAGCGGGGCACAAATTATACGCGAATCAGTTCAATTTCGCACATATTTTATTGCTGGAATGGACAAGTTTAAACTTGTTCGGTGTTTTTCTCTTTTCTTCAATGTCCACATGTTCAGATTTGTTAGAGCAGTTGTGCCGATCCATCGTCAGATCCAAAAAATATTTTCTCGTAGAAAATGTTCGCCCTAGTCGAGACGTGGATAAATATAATTTCAAAATGATTGAATCAGTGAAACACGCATTTTGTACTAACATTCTAGAGGCTTCATA